CACTTCTTATAAGTCAACATATAACAAGAAAACAAAAATTACCAATTTTAATTTAAAAAACAACCCCTTTTTCAGTTAAAAATCCCAAAATTTAATAAATTTGATATCGATGGGTAAAAAAAAAAAGGATTAATGCTAAATCGATAAATGAAAATTACAAACAAATCATGCTAGAATCCAATATTGATCATTTAAATCAATTTATCTAAGTATTTTATTTATCTATTATTATAAGTTAAATGAAAATTACAAACAAATCATGCTAGAATCACAATATTGATCGGTTAAATCAATTTATCTAAGCATTTTATTTATCTATTATTATAAGTTACAATTTAAAATAAATAAGTTAATTAATTTCAGTTAAAAAGATTAAAAAAAACATTATATCATCTTCAAATAAACTCTGAATTTCTCTATAACTATACAAAAAATATATATTCTATTTGCAAATTTATTTTTTTTTTAAATATATCTACCAAATCATACAAAAATAAAAAAAGAACATTAAAAAAACATAATTTTCTCTTACCTAAAAATATTTTAAATTATAATTAAAATAAATTTGAATATTTAAAATATAAAAATTATCATGGCTCATCATCCATCAAATATATATTATATATATATGTATATATTATATATATATAATTTATATATTATTTATTTATTTATTTTTATTTATTAAAAAAATAAAAAATAGAATTTTAAAATTCTTAATAATGTTTTTATTAATTTCTCTAATACTTCACTTTTCTTAATAATTTTTTTCTCTCTTCTTTATTATTCAATGATGATTTGCTCTTCAATTTATGACTTTTAACATTCAATTATAACATTTAAAAACAAAACAAGTCATAACTCAATCTTTAACCCCTTCCCTCAACTGCAAATCAATATTTATATAACCACTAATAAAAATAATAAAAAATTATTCTTTACTGCTAAGTAAAAGAAATGAAATGAAAAAATAATCTGAATCAATAAATGAAAAAATAATCTGAATCAATTATGATATTTACTTTGGCTAGTGACGGTATTACTTATCCGGTGCATTAAGGAAAAAAATATATACACGCAAATTCTTAAAACACCCCCAAAAGTGACCTAAAACAAAAAAAAAAAAAATTTCTTTTTTTTTATCATACGCACTATTTTATTTCAAGTCAAACAGATTTAAAATATAAAAGAAAATAATATTAAAAAAATTAAAATTACTCAATCATCAAAATGAAATATATTTCATGTAAAGTGATAATTGTTACAAATTAGTTCAATAAAAAAATAAAATTAGTATTTAAAATAAAACACTTCTCAAAACTCAACGTATAACAAGAAAACAAAAGTTATCAATTTTATTTTCAAAAACAACGTTTTTTTAACCGAAAATCCCATAATTTAATGAAATTTGATGTCGATGGACAAAAAAAAAAAAAAAAAAAAAAAAAAAAAAAAAGAATTGAAGCTAAGTCAATAAATAAAAATTATAAAAACAAATCACTTTGTTAGGATCCCCAATATTTGATCAGCTAATCAATTTATCTAATTATTTTATTTTTCTATTTTTATAAGTTACAATTTAAAATAAAATAAATAATTAATTTCAGTAAAAAAGATAACAAAAAAAAACAAAACACTTACATCATCTTCAAATAAACTCTTGAATTTTCTATATAAGCATGACAATTATATATATAATATAATATATATATATATATTATACTCTATTTTTGAAAAATATACTCTATTTGAAAATTTATTTATTTTAATCACTTATCTATCAAATCATATAAACATAAAGAAATAAGAACATTAAAAAAATACATATTTTTATCTCTCCTAAAAATATTTTAACTTATAAATAAAATAAATTTGAATATTTAAAAAATAAAATATAAAAAATATCATGTCTCACTATCATTCATGTATATATTTATTAAAAAAAATAAAATATAGAAATTTGAAATTCTTAATAATATTTTTATTAATTTTTCTAATATTTCACTTTTCTTAATCATTTATTCTCTTTTTTATTATTCAATGATGATTTGTGATTTGCTCTTCAATTTTGTGATTTTTAACATTCAATTATAACATTTAAGAAAAAAAAGGTCCGACTCGATGTTCAACCTCTTCACTCATCTACAAATCGATATTTATACAACCACTAATGAAAAACAATAATAAATTATTTTTTACTGCTAAGTAAAACAAATGAAATGAAAAAATAATCTGAATCAATAATGATATCCACTTTGGCAAGTGTCGGTATGATTTACCCAATCCATTAAGGAAAAAAATATATGCACACAAATCCTTCAAACCTCCAAAAGTGTACTAAAATAAAAATATATTTTTTTTTTCAATATCATAAATACTATTTTCTTTCAAGCCAAAACAGATTTAGAATATAAAAGAAAATAATGTCTAAAAAATTAAAAATACTTAATCATCAAAATGTCATATATTTCTTGTTAAAATGATTATAATAACAGATTAATTCAAAAACAAAAAAATAAAAAATTATTATTTAAAATAAAACTCTTCTCAAAACTCAACGTATAACAAGAAAACAAAAATTATCAATTTTACTTTCGAAAACAACCCTTTTTTCAACTGAAAATCCCATAATTTAATGAAATTTAATGTCGATAGACAAAAAAAAAAAAAAAAAAAAAAAAAAAAAAAAAAAAAAAAAAAAAAAAAAAAGAAAAAAGAAAAAAGAATTAAAGCCAAGTCAATAAATGAAAATTACAAAACAAATCATACAAATCATCTTCGAATGAACTCTGAATTTTCTCTATAACAATACAAAAAAAAAAAGTCTATTCGAAAAAATAAAAATTATCAATTTTAATTTCAAAAACAAGCCTTTTTTTCAATTGAAAATCCCATAATTTAATAAAATTGATGGAAAAAAAAAAAGCCAAATCAATAAATGAAAATTACAAAATAAATCATGTTAAAATTCCAATATTAATCGGTTAATCAGTTTATCTAAGTATTTTATTTCTCTATTATTATAAGATACAATTTAGACTAAATAACTTAATTAATTTCAGTAAAAAAGATTATATAAAAAAAAACATTACATCATATTAAAATGAACTCTGAATTTTTTCTATAATCATACAAAAAATATATATATTCTATTTGAGAATTTATTTTTTTAAATATATATCCATCAAATCATAGAAACAAATCATTAGGAAATATTAAAGAAAAAAGAACATTTACAAAATACATATTTATCTCTGCTCCTAAAAAATATTTTAATGATAAATAAAATAAATTCCAATATTAAAAATAAAATATAAAAATTATCATGGTTCTCATTACCATTCATATATATATATATATAATATATATATATATATATATATATATATATATATATATATATATATATATAATTTGCAAAATAAAACATAGAATTTGAAATTTCTTAATAATGTTTTTGGATTTAACTTTTCTATATTTCAAATTTTCTTAATCATTTTTTTCAATTTTCTTAATCATTTTTTCTCTTTTTTATTATTCAATGATGATTTGCTCTTGAATTTTATTACTTTTAACATTCATATAACATTTAAAAAAAAACAAGTCGACTGGATCTTCATCCCCTTCACTCATCTGCAAATCAATATTTATATAACCACTAATAAAAAATAATAATAATAAAAAAATATTTGTTATTGCCAAGTAAAACAAATGAAATGAAAAAATAATCTGAATCAATAATGATATTTACTTTGGCCAGTGACGATATTACTTACCTAATGCATTAAGGAAAAAAAATATACTCACGCCAATTCTTAAAAAACCCCCCAAAAGTGACCTAAAACGAAAAAACAGTTGTTTTTTTTTAATATCATACTCACTATTTTATTTCAAGTCAAACAAATTTAGAATATAAAAGAAAATAATATAAAAAATTAAAAATACTTTATCTATTATTATAAGTTACAATTTGAAATAAATAAGTTAATTAATTTCAGTAAAAAAGATTAAAAAAAAAAAAAAAAAAAGATTAAAAAAAAAAAAAAAAACATTGTATCATCTTTAAATAAACTCTGAATTTTCTCTATAATCATACAAAAAAAAATTCTATTTGAAAATTTATTTTTTAAAAAAGATATCTATTAAATCACACAAACATAAAGAAAAAGAACATTAAAAAATACATATTTCTCTTTCCTAAAAATATTTTTAATCATAATTAAATTAAATTAGAATAATTAAAAAATAAAAAATAAAATTTATCATGTCTCATTATCGTGATCGACATGCCTCTTGATTGGAGAAAAATGCGTATATCTACATCACCCAGAAACCATCCAACTCACAAAGGATAACCTCATTCTCACATTCATACAAGTATAGTTATATTTATCAAGAGCGATGAAAATAGTGAATTATAATGTAGAAATCATAAGTTAAAAAACTTAATAGACAATTAATAAAACGACAATGAAAATAGACAATTTTCGTTGAAAGTTGAATAATAATAAAATTAACAATGAAAATAGAAAATTTTCATTAAAAATTAACAATGAAAATAGAAAATTTTCATTAAAAGTATCAAAATATTGATAGAATAATAAATAAATAAATGATCACATAATTAAATTAGAACAAAAATTGTTATGTATTCGAAACCTCATAGTTAAATTTGAATTTTTCTCTAAACTTGCAAATTTTGTACAGTGAAATATCAAATCAACCTTTCTATTTTATATATAAAACTCAAAAACTCTAAAGATGGTTATTATTAATTTTAATTTGAAAAGGTGCAACGTTCTCAGCAGAAAGGCAATTAAAGAATCCATTAAGGAAAATTTTGAACTGATGGAAGATATAAAAGACAAGTCGCTTCTTACCCCATATGAAAGAAAACGCTAATGACATAGTTCGAAGCGAACCATCTTCAGCTAATATCATACTAAAAAATAAAATAAAAAAAAGTGAGGCAGGCTTTATTCTGTTAAAAAGATACGTACAGTGTACTGGGAAGGTTATAACTGTAAAAGCACCGGTGGAAGCGGAACTTTTAGGTGCTCGGTTTGGCGAAAATGGGTGTCTGTCATCTATGCAGATTTGACTTTGGGTACTCGATTTTGCGAGGCCCACAAAATCAACTTGTGCCCATTTTGTTCAATCTAACAGATTTTCTACCCATCTTTACTGCTTGTAAAAATTGAGAGTTTATAACGATTATTAACAATTAAAAATGAGCATATATACTAGAAGTATATCTTACTGACTTAAGTTATTTGAGTTAGATTTTCTAATTGTACTAATCCAAGTCTCTACGTGCAAGAAGACTATCCAAAATTACTATAGTTGACTAATAATTAAGCTCATAAACTACCACAGTGGTAAACATTGCCAAATAAAAAGAGGCTAAGATTCACCTTTTTCAGGCAGAAGATTGAACATCACAAAACAGCTCATAATCAGAAGCTCGCGAGTCACCCACCCAAAGTTCGCCAGACAGCCACTCACAGGCGAAAAAAAGAAAGTAGATATATTAGTATAAGGGTTGCTGCCAACATCAAAAACAAGAATCATAATTATGCAAAACTTTGTTCACAAACCAACAACATTCACCAAATGTAAAACTAAAGCTGCCCTTGATTTAAGCATATAAAAGGAAGCGCAGATTCGCCTTTTCAAGCAGAAGATTAAGGAAGCGCAGATTCGCCTTTTCAAGCAGAAGATTGAAAATCACAAAAAATCTCAAAATCAGAAGCTCACGAGTCACTCACCCAAAGTTCACCAAACAGCCATTCACACACACAAGAAAGAAAGCAGATATATTGGTACAAGGGCTTTCGCCAACATGAGAAATAAGGATCAAAATTATGCCAAACTTTATTCACAAACCAATGACATTCATCGAATGTAAAACTCAACCCGATCTTGATTCAAATATATAAAAGGAGGCTCAGATTCGCTTTTTTCAAGCAGAAGATTGAACATCACAAAACAGCTCAAAACAAGAAGCTCACGAGTCATCCAACCAAATCGCTTTTTCCAAGCAGAAGATTGAACATCACAAAAGAAGATTGAACATCACAAAACAGCTCAAAATCAAAAGCTAACGAGTCATCCAACCAAAGTAAAGTAAAGCCGACCTTGATTTTAGCATATAAAAGGAGGGTCAGATTTGCCTTTTTCAAGCAGAAGATTGAACATTATAAAACAGCTCAAAATCAAGAGCTTACGAGTCACCCACCCAAAGTTCGCCAGACAGCCGCTCACATACGCAAAAAAGAAAGCAGATATATAAGGGTTGCTGCCAACATCGAAAACAAGAATCAAAATTATGCAAAACTTTGTTCACATACCAACAACATTCACCAAATGTAAAACTAAAGCTACCCTTGATTTAAGCATATAAAAGGAGGCGCAGATTCGCCTTTTCAAGCAGAAGATTGAAAATCACAAAAAAGCTCAAAATCAGAAGCTCACGAGTCACTCACCCAAAGTTCGCCAAACAGCCATTCACACACAAAAGTTCGCCAAACAGCCATTCACACACAAGAAAGAAAGCAGATACCAAACTTCATTCACATACCAACAACATTCATCGAATGTAAAACGAAAGCCGACCTTGATTCAAGTATATAAAAGGAGGCTCAGATTCGTTTTTTCAAGCAGAAGATTGAACATCACAAAACAGCTCAAAATCAAAAGTTCACGAGTCATCCAACCAAAGTAAACTAAAGCCGACCTTGATTTAAGCATATAAAAGGAGGCTAAGATTTGCCTTTTTCAAGCAGAAGATTGAACATCAAAAAACAGCTCAAAATCAAAAGCTTATGAGTCACCCATCCAAAGTTCGGCAGACAGCCACTCGCAAACACAAGAAAGAAAGCAAATATATTGGTATAAGGGCTGTTGCCAGCATGAGAAACAAGAGCAAATATATTGGTATAAGGGCTGTTGCCAGCATGAGAAACAAGGATCAAAATTATGCCAAGCTTTGTTCACATACCAACAACATTCACCGAATGCAAAACTAAAGCCGACATTGATTTAAGCACATAAAAAGAGGCTCAGATTCTCCTTTTCAAAGCAGAAGATTGAACATCACAAAATCGTTCAAAATCAAAAGCTCACGAGTCATCCAACCAAAGTAAACTAAAGCCGAACTTGATTTAAGCATATAAAAGGAGGCTCAGATTTGCCTTTTTCAAGCAGAAGATTGAAAAATCAAAATCAAAAGCTTATAAGTCACCCATCCAAAGTTCGGCAGACAGCCACTCGCAAACACAAGAAAGAAAGCAAATATATTGCCAGCATGAGAAACAAGGATCAAAATTATGCCAAGCTTTGTTCACATACCAACAACATTTAACGAATGCAAAACTAAAGCCGACATTGATTTAAGCACATTAAAAGAGGCTTAGATTCTCCTTTTCAAAGCAGAAGATTGAACATCACAAAATCGTTCAAAATCAAAAGCTCACGAGTCATCCAACCAAAGTAAACTAGAGCCGACCTTGATTTAAGCATATAAAAGAAGGCTCAGATTTGCCTTTTTCAAGCAGAAGATTGAACATCATAAAACAGCTCAAAATCAAAAGCTTACGAGTCACCCACCCAAAGTTCAACGGACAGCCACTCAAACACACAAGAAAGAAAGCAAATATATTGGTATAAGGGCTATTGCCAGCATGAGAAACAAGGATCAAAAGTATGCCAAGCTTTGTTCACATACCAACAACATTCACCGAATTTAAAACTAAAGCCGACATTAATTTAGGCATATCATAGGAGCCTCAGATTATCCCTTTTAAAGCAGAAGATTGAATATCAAAAAATAGCTCAAAATCAGAAGTTCACGAGTCACCCACTCAAAGTAAGCAGCAGCCGAACTTGTTTTAAGTAAGCATAATAAAAGGAAGGCTTAGGTTCCCTTTTTCAAGCAGAAGATTGAAACATCACAAAAGAGCTCAAAATTAGAAGGCTCATTGATCCCCACTTTGATTTAATCATGTAAAAGGAGTCTTTCAGATTTGCCTTTTCAAGCAGAACATTTAATATCACAAAAAGAGGCTCAAATCAAGAAAGCTCACGAGTCCTTTTCATGCAGAAGAATTGAATTATCACAAAAGAGCTCATGAGTCTGGGTTCACGCAGAAGAGATTGAATATTCACAAAAGAGCTCAGAGTCTGTTTCACGCAGAAGAGTTGAATATCACAAAAAGCTCAAAATCAAAACCTCACGAGTCATCCACCCGAATTAACTAAAGCCGATCTTGATTTTAGCATATGTAAAGGAGGCTCAGATTTGCCTTATTTCAGCAGGAAGGATTGAACATCACAAAACAGCCTCCAAATCAGAGAAGCTCACGAGTCACCACACCCCAAAAGTTTTGGCAGACAAAGCCACTCACGACACACAACAAAGAAAGCAAATATACTGTATAAGGCTTGTTGCCAGCATGAGAAACCAAGGATCAAAATTATGCAAGCCTTTGTTCGCAAATAGCAACAACCATTTCACCGAATTTAAAACTAAAGCCGACATTAATTTAGGGCATATATTAGGAGCCTCAGATTATCCCTTTTAAAGTCAGATAGATTGAAGGTCAAAAAAATAAGCTCAAAATCAGAGAGCTTCACGAGTCACCCACTCAAAGTACAGCAGCAGCCGAACTTGTTTTAAGCCATTATTAAAAGGAGGCTTAGGCTCCCTTTTTCAAGCCAGAAAGATTGAAACATTCAACAAAAGAGCTCAAAAAATTAAGAAGCTCATGAGTCCCCCTTTGATTTAATCATGTAAAAGGAGTCTTCAGATTTGCCTTTTTCAAGCAGAACCATTTTAATATACAATAAAGCCCTCAAATCAAGAAGCTCATTTGAGTCTTTTTTCATGCAGAAAGATTGAATATCACAAAAGAGGCTCATGAGTCTTTTCACGGCAGAGATTTGAATATCACAAAAGAGCTCAAATCAGAACCTCACAGTCATCGCAACCCGAAATTAACTAAAGGCCGACTCTTGCATTTTAGCATATAAAAGGAGGCTAAGATTGCCCTTTTTCAGGCCAGAAGATTGAACAATCACCAAAACAGGCTCAAAAGTCAGAAGCTCACGGAGTCACACACCCAAAGGATTGCCAGACGCCACTCAGCACACACAAACAAAGAAAGCAAATATACTGGTATTAAGGGCTGTCTGCCAGCATGAGAAACAAGGATCAAAAATTTATGCAAAGCTTTGTTCACATAGCAACAACATTCACCGAATTTAAAACTAAAAGCCGACATTAATTTAGCGCATATAATAGGAGGCCTCAGATTAATCCCTTTTAAAGCAGAAGATTAATATCAAAAACAGCGTCAAAATCAGAAGTTCAAAGTCAACCCACTAAAAGCTAAGGCAGCACCGAACTTGTTTTTAAGGCATATAAAAGGGGCTTAGGTTCCCTTTTTACAAGGCCAGAAGATTGAAACATCACAAAAAGAGTCAAAATTAGAAAGCTCATTGAGTCCCCACTTCACCCACCTTGATTTAAGCATGTAAAAGGAATCACAGATTTGCCTTTTTCAAGCAGAAGATTGAATATCGCAAGAGAGCTCAAAATCAGAAGCTCACGAGTCTTTTTCAAGCAGAAGATCAAATATCACAAAAGAGCTCAAAATCAGAACCTCACGAGTCATCCACCCAAAGTAAACTAAAAACGACCTTGATTTTAGCATATAGGAGGAGGCTCAGATTCGACATTTTCAAGCAGAACATTGAACATCATAAAACAGCTCAAAATTAGAAGCTCACGAGTCACACACCCAAAGTTTGCCAGACAGCCACTCACACACACAAGAAAGAAAGCAAATATACTGGTATAAGGGCTCAAAAATCAGAAGCTCACGAGTCACCACACCCCAAAGTTTGCCAGAACAGCCCACTCACCCACACACAACAAAGAAAGCAAATATACTCGGTATAAGGGCCTGTTGCCAGCATGAGAAACAAGGATACAAAATTATTGCAAAGCTTTGTTTCACATAGCAACAACATTCACCGAAGTTAAAAACTTAAAGCCGACCATTAATTTAGGCATATAATAGGAGCCTCAGATATATCCCCTTTTAAAGCAGTAAGAATGAATTATCAAAAAAAAGCTCAAAATCATAAGTTCACGAGTCACCCACTCAAAGTAAGCAGCAGAAAGTAAGCAGCAGCCGAACTTGTTTTAAGCATATAAAAGGAGGCTTAGGTTCCCTTTTTCAAGCAGAAGATTGAACATCACAAAAGAGCTCAAAATTAGAGGCTCATGAGTCCCCACTTTCATTTAATCATGTAAAAGGAGTCTCAGATTTGCCTTTTTCAAGCAGAACATTTAATATCACAAAAGAGCTCAATATCAGAAGCTCATGAGTCTTTTTCATGCAGAAGATTGAATATCACAAAAGAGCTCATGCGTCTTTTTCACGCAGAAGATTGAATATCACAAGAGCTCATGAGTCTTTTTCACGCAGAAGATTGAATATCACAAAAGAGCTCAAAATCAGAACCTCATGAGTCATCCACCCGAATTAAACTAAAGCCGATCTTGATTTTAGCATACAAAAGGAGGCTCAGATTTGCCTTTTTCAAGCAGAAGATTGAACATCAAAGCAGAAAGATTGAACATCACAAAAAAACAGCCTCAAAAATCAGAAGCTCACGAGTCACCAACCCAAAGGTTTGCCAGACAGCCACTCACACACACAACAAAGAAAGCCAATATACTAGGTATACAGGGCTTGTTGCCAGGCATGAGAAACAAGGATCAAAATTATGCCAAAGCTTTGTTCCATAGCAAACAACATTCACCGAATTTTAAAACTTTAAAAGCCGACATTAATTTAGGCCATATAATAGGCAGCTCAGGATTATCCCTTTTAAAGCAGAAAGACTTGAATATCAAAAAATAGCTCCAAAGATCAGAAGTTCACGAGTCACCCACTCAAAGTAAGCCAGCAGCCGAACTTGTTTTAAGCGATAAAAAGGAGGCTTAGGTTCACCTTTTTCAAAGCAGAAGATTGAAACATACAAAAGAGCTCAAATCTTAGAAGCTCATTGAGTCCCCCACTTTATTTAATCATGTAAAAGGAGTCTCAGATTTTGCCTTTTTCAAAGCAGAACATTTAATTATCACAAAAAGAGCTCAAAATCAGAAGCTCATGGTCTTTTCATGCAGAAGATTTGAATATCACAAAAGAGCTCGTGAGTCTTTTTTCACGCAGGGAGATTGAATATCACAAAAGAGCTCATGAGTCTTTTTCACGCAGAAAGATTGAAATATCACAAAAAGAAGCTCAAAATCAGAACCTCACGAGTCAATCCACCCCGAATTTAAACTAAAGCCGATCTGATTTTAAGCATATAAAAGGAGGCGTAAGATTTGCTTTTTCAAGCAGGGAAGGATTGAACATCACCAAAACAGCTCAAAATTCAGAAGCCTTTCACGAGTCACACACCCAAAGTTTTGCCAGACAGCAAACTCACACACACAACAAAGAAAGCAAAAATATACTGGGGTATAAGGGCTGTTTGCCAGCATGAGAAAACAAGGATTGCAAAAAATTATGCAAAGCTTTCGTTCACATAGCAACAAAACATTCACCGAATTTAAAACTAAAGCCGACATTAATTTAGGCATATAATAGGAGCCTCAAGATTATCCCTTTTAAAGGCAGAAGATTTGAATATCAAAAAACAGCTCAAAAATCAGAAGTTTCACGAGGTTCACCCACTCCAAAGTACAGCAGCAGCCGAAAACTTGTTTTAGAGCATATAAAAGGAGCTTAGGTTCCCTCTTTCAAGCAGAAGATTGAACATCACAAAAGAGCTCCAAAAATTAGATAATTGAGTCCCCACTTTTGATTTAATACATGTAAAAGGAGTTCTCAGATTTGCCTTTTCAAGCAGAACATTTATATCACAAAAGAGCTGAAAAATCAGAAGCTCATCAGTCTTTTTTCATGCAGAAGATTGAATAGCACAAAAGAAGCTGATGAGTCTTTTTCACGCAGAAGAGTTGAATATCACAAAAGAGTCAGGAATCAGAACCTTCATGAGTCATTCAACCCAAAGTAAACTAAAGCAGACCCTATTGATTTTAGCATATTTAAAACGAAGGCTCGAGGCTCAGATTCGCCTTTTTCAAGCAGAAGATTGAACATCACAAAACAGCTCAAAATTAGAAGCTCACGAGTCACACACCCAAAGTTCGCCAGACAGGCACTCACACACACAAGAAAGAAAGCAAATATATTGGTATAAGGGCTGTTGCTAGCATGAGAAACAAAGATCAAAATCATGCAAATCTTTGTTCAACGACATTCACCGAATGTAAAACTAAAGCCGACATTGATTTAAGCATATAAAAGGGGGCTCAAATTCGCCTTTTTAAAGCAGAAGATTGAACATCACAAACCAGCTAAAAATCAGAAGCTCTCGAGTCACCCAATCAAAGTAAACTAAAGCCGACCTTGATTTAATGATTTAAGCCATATAAAAGGATTTAAGCATATAAAAGGAGGCTCAGATTTCCCTTTTTCATGCAGAACATTGAACATCACAAAACAGCTCAAAATTAGAAGCTCACGAGTCACACACCCAAAAGCTCGCCAGACAGCCACTCACACACACATGAAAGAAAGCAAATATATTGGTAGGGACTGTTGCCAGTATGCAAAACACGGATCAAAATTATGCCAAGCTTTGTTCACATACCACAACATTCACCGAATGTAAAACTAAAGCCGACCTTGAATTAAGCATATAAAAGCAGGGTCGGATTCCCCTTTTTCAAGCAGAAGATTGAACATCACAAAAGAGCTCAAAATTAGAAGCTCACGAGTCACCCACCTTGATTTAAGCATGTAAAAGGAGTCTCAGATTTGTCTTTTTCAAGCAGAAGATTAAATATCACAAAAGAGCTCAAAACGAAAAGCTCACGAGTGACCCATCCAAAGTAAACTAAAGCCGACATTGATTTTAGCATATAAAAAGAGGCTCAGATTTGCCTTTCTCAAGCAGAAGATTGAATATCACAAAACGGCTCAAAATTAGAAGCTCACGAGTCACACACCCAAAGTTCGCCAGACAGCCACTCACACACACAAGAAAGAAAGCAAATTTATTGGTATAAGGGCTGTTGCAGCAAATTTATTTGGTTATAAGGGCTGTTGCTAGCATTGAGAAACAAGGATCAAAATTTAATTATGCCAAGCTTTGTTCACATACCAAGAACATTCAACAAATGTAAAGCGAAAGCCGACATTGATTTAAGCATATAAAAGGAGGCTCAGATTCTCCTTTTTAAGGCAGAAGATTGAACATCACAAAACAGCTCAAAATCATCAGGTCACGAGTCACCCACTCAAAGTAAACAAAAACCGACCTTGATTTAAGCGTATAAAAGGAGGCTCAGATTCCCCTTTTTCAAGCAGAAGATTGAACATCACAAAAGAGCTCAAAATCAGAAGCATACGAGTCACACACCAAAGGTTCGCTTAACAGCCACTCACACACACGAGAAAGCAAATATATTGGTATAAGGGTTGTTGCCAACATGATAAACAAGGAAGCAAGATCATATGTGATACTAACAGCATACTTCATGGTACATTGATGATGAACAATAATAACGACAATCCTAACACTTTATTGTGCTTCATGCCAAATTATGTACACACAAGGATCATATGTAATGTATCGTGAGAAACAGCCACTAACACTTTCTTCGCCATAAGTACATACCAGGATCAGCATTCCGCTTTGCTAGTAAACGTAGCTCTCCAGCAGCTGCTCTTTGTTGTTCTGGATTCCCATTTGCCAATTTCGCTAATAAGGCAACAATAGCAATTCGATCACCTCTTTGTTGTTCTGGATGTGCGCGCATTTGCCAATTTCTGTTGTTCTGGATTCCCATTTGCCAATTTCGCTAATAAGGCAACAATAGCAATTCGATCACAATCTGAAAAACTGGTTCCAATTTTTTTTGTTCTATAACCTCCTTGTTGTTTAGGCAGCTCAACACCATTGCTTTCACACCACAATGCCATCAAACTCTTCAAAATATAATTAGGTGTTAGAGCAGTATGCAACTGTGTTTGCTGTGTCTTTGGACAAGTCTTGTGTCCTGCATCTAGCCATTTTTGGATGCACGATCTTTCATAGGTCTGCAGAATGAAGACAATTTATGAACAATGGCCACTAAAAATTTACAAAGCAACAAACTATGACACAAGTCGTAACCAAACCTGTCCAGTAGAGACAATCACAGGATCTTTCATTAGTTCTAGAGATCGAAAATCATCTGGGATAACAGGAGATCTGTGCTTAAATGAACTCTTTTCAGCCTCAGAATTATCAGCTTCAGGGTTTCCCATTTCAATGTAGTCCTTCAACTTCATAAGGATGGATGACATCTTTTGTAACCATTCTCCAAGATCACCATTGCTCGAGATAATCATCTCATGGAAAGCAACAGAATCTTTCTTTAGATCAATTATGGTCTTGAGTTCCAACTTTCCAATTTTTATTCAAACCTCTCGTTCTCCTGAGATAACCAACTTTCCAATTTTTATTCAAACCTCTCGTTCTCCTGAGATAAGAAAAACAGAAAATGTAACCCCAATAGACAACTCAAGCAAGTTTGAAGCTTTTAGAACCTTGAACAAAATCTTAATTCACATTTTCGCATGATTTTAAGACGCGTTAGAATTCAAATACCAAACATAGCACTATCCTGTGAACCATACATAGTAAAATTCAATTTAGGAAGTCGTGATCAAAGAAATTCCATATCCATGATGCATTAGAAAAAACATAATTTACTACTCCGAAAATGATTTATGTAGTTATATATATACCGTCCTAAGAACCGAAAATACAAACAGAACAAGCGGAATAGAGAAAGAACCCTATTGAATATCTTAATGCCCCAGGATTTGAATTAAACATGGATAGCAACTTCTAGTACAAAATAAATAACTGATTGCCCTTTAAGGCTCTAAACTAAACAGAGAATAAGCTGATCTGCTCTCTTTAAGGCTCTAAACTAGAACAGAGCAGGCTCGTAAACAAACCGGACATCTAAAACTATATGTCTCCTCTATGTGGGTGTTAGATTCAACGCTTTCGAATAGTTATTTTTCGATATTTAAAATTCTCATTACTACAAACCGCAGCCATTTCTTGAGAGGGGGCAAGGATTAAGACGGCCGGTGAGTTTTTGCGGGACGTGCTTTGAAGTTGCATTGAAGTTGATCGATCTGACTGTGAAAGAGTTCCTTCTGCGAATCCAAAAACTTCTGAAACGACTCGACGGAGGTCCCAGTCTCTATTTCTTCTAAATTTTCCTTCAACGCCTCCATTGTCGATGTGGAAGATTGGAGTCTTGAAGCTCGGTGTGTGAGAACAGCGCATTAAACAAAAATAGAGTTAGAATTAGGGTTAGGGTTTAGTAATTTGACGGCGGCTGATAGATAGGGGAGAGGGAGATGACGGCTGCGAATTGGGTAGAAATGAAGCGGCGAACTAAAGCCCTAGTTGGCACGTGAGACTATGAAAGAGGTGAAAAGGAAAAACAAAACTACGCGCCTAAACGAGGACATGACTCGTGAGACGGTCGGGCAGGTCGGTGGGCTCGAGTTTGCGGCTAGCTCGCTCATTGTTTAAAATCTTGTTTACGACACAAGACACGTAACAATAAGATATGTCACCGCTAATTTAAAATTTTAATATTAAAAAGAAATAATTTCTTCTTTCAAAATTGTTAGAACTCTTTTCAGAAAAAATACGATGGCATCACTCGGAGCGAATGCCCGGTTAATTATCATAAATTTTATATTTATAAATATAATTTTAAAATTATATTATGATATAGTGAAATTTAATATTTTATAATAAAATTTATCATAAATTTTATATTTATAAATATAATTTTAAAATTATATTATGATATAGTGAAATTTAATATTTTATAATAAAATTTTATGTATGATACTTTATATTTGTTGATCTCGTACGTAATAATTTAACTTATAGACCACATTATGAATACTATATTAACGTTGTCATATATATCTAATTATATAATAAACCATAATAGCATCAATATAATTTGATCATGCTATTTCGTTTTGTTAAAATATTTGTTATCACATAAATACAAATACATATTTACAGTTGATAATCCATATATGTTCATTTTTGTCTTACTTGGCATAACTTTATTACAATTTTTTTTTTCAGTCTATAATAATTTTAAAATATTTTTAATAATAATAATAATTAATTAAATTATTAATGAAATTAACTTCATCATTGATTTATTATTTAAAATAATCATGAAAGACAATTTATATTCATAATTAGTTAAAAACTAAGTACATCAAATATTATAGACAATAAGAAACTTTTTTTTTCTTACATTTATACTGAGTGATGTGTACATCTAAATATGTAGTAAATGTTAAATTTGGTGTTGTGTTTATTATCTCTGAGCAAGTTACTCATTATAATTTTACAACTCATTATTTTGAGTAAAAATTAATATTTTATCTATTTTATAAAGTTTTTAATGTGAATATATATAAAGTAAAAGTCTTTTAATCAAACTCATTAATTTTTTTTTGAGTAAAATTAATATTTGTATCTATTTTAATTAAAGTTTTTAATGTGGAATATATATATATACAAGGAGTAGGAATAGTCTTTTAAATGTGAATCGATATTACATATGATAAATATAATATCCGCAGGGCTCGTTCTCCAAAATGAAAATTAAGGCAATTTATGTTTTATAAAGTTTTTAATGTGAATATATATAAAGTAAAAGTCTTTTAATGTGAATATATTACATATATAATATTTCTCAAATGAAAATAGGCAATTTGTACAAATGAAATTAGAACTAATTTAATAATTTTTTGTATCCTTAAAATTTTAATTTGATTCAATTTAGACAAAAAAATCATAAAAATACAAACTTATATATATATTACAATTCTTGGATTTAAATAAGATATCAAATATTATATTTTATTGATTGAACTAATAAAAGAATAAATAAACATCGTTTGAAAAATAGTATTAGTAGAGCTTTATATATGTTTATAATATTAATCTTTAATTTGCTTGAAAAAATTATTATCGACATTTAATAATTAATATTTGATAGATAATTGTTTATTATAAATGCACATATTGATAGCACTTAATGATTTCCACATTATGAGATAATATTTAAAAAAGTATAAAAATAAATCAAATTAACAGAAAAAGTTAACCATTAATAACTTTAGTACGTCAATTTTATATATTAGAAAATTAACTATTCAAATTATTTATAATTATGCAACACAAAAATTCAATAATTTGGTGAGGTGAATTGGTTGGATTTTCTTCTTATTTTTTATGGGTTGGGAATGGCCTGGAGAAGGGCAGGGGTTGGTCAGAATTTAACCTTATCATTTTCAAAAATATTGAAGTCCAATCTTATAATTAATAATAATTTTTTCGTTTTATCATTTATAATTATTTTATTAAATATGATTGACTTTTAATGTTGTTTTATCATATTAAAATTAGTGTAAAAAAAATTTTATTCGCTTATAATATGAATATATTATTAATCATGTCTTAACATTATATAAATATATATGTAATATAAAAGAAAAATTATAATCATTAACATATATAATATGAATATATTATTAATCATGTCTTAACATTATATAAATATATATGTAATATAAAAGAAAAATTATAATCATGCTTGATACTATATAATAATAAATTAATAAATATAAATGACGAGTAATACTGAATACTGACAACGTACAACATATGTCAAAAAAAAATACACTGATATATTTAAATGTGAGATTAAGTGTAAAAGTGAAGGCCATTGTCAAGATACCTTTGTCACGACCCGATTCCATGGGCCGGACCGGCACTAGGGCCCAGGTAAGCTTAAGGCCTCCGAGGCCCGTAGTCAGCCTGAAACACTAGAATCTATTATCTCGGTATAAATTTCAACATTCAGCCCATATGATTATGAAAAATAAACCATTATGATTAAGTAGAAAAAATAAACCATCAAATATATATTTAATTATATTCTCAGGACCCAAGTTTTAATCTCCTACAGCATTCCAATATAGATATATCGGGCCCAATTTAACAATACAAATCACATTCCTAGATATGAGGGAAACTTTAACAAGGATTTAAAATTATGTTTTATATGTTAATGTAACAACGAATAAATTGTATAAAATCTTACAACTGTCACTAGATTCTTTGGTTATAACATAAGATTTGGGTATACACATTAATTACAATAAGTAAAATTATTATGGACTAGGAAAAATTTTCTCTATTGCGCAACATGCGCCGAAAGAAACACTAGCCTAAATCGAATTAAAGAAAAACTTACTTCCATGAAAAAATCAAACCAAGATAAAGAAATAAAAAAAAAAGATTTCGGACAGAAAAATAAAAAACAAAAAAATAAAAAAAAAAATAAAAGTGGTAACATGTGAGTTTCTAAAGGAGTAATTAATTATTGCACACAACATGGCATGATGATTGCGGTGGCGCAGTCACACAAATATGTAAACTTTCAATCTAGTCTGCGGAGACCGAACCTAGTTATAATCTCAACGGATATAATAACAGAGTAATGGAATAAACCTTCTCGTGGTCTGAGCGACAATGCGTCGAGACGCAGCTCGAGTCCGGCAGCTATGGCGTTGTCAGGGAGGTCGGAAGGCGGGGGGGTCTGGTATTATGAGCATTTTGGCAGGGGTTAGTTGGGGGCAGCAGTCACACAAATGGCACAATACCGAAGCACTACACACGTAATGGTCACCTTCAAGTAATCAAGCAAGTTTGGGTAATTAGTCCAGTGGCACCACCTGATAACCGAGACCAACGAGCCGTCCTCACAAACAAAGAATGAGCTCGCACCTCTCGTAACAATGATATATGCACACAGGGAAGCCGATCCCCCATAAAGGCCAAAACACTGAGTCTAAAATCCCTCCAACTGAGACACAGACTTACCTACTATACAATATGTTTTTTTCCACATACTACACTCGTTTTAAAAAAAAAAAAAAAGAACGGCCTTTGGTGAGCAGTGACGCTGTACGTGATTAGGGATTTATGGGGGATTTCAGGGATGAGCTTTTGTTGTAGCGGCACACTGAAAATCTAAGTATTTGTTGTACGGCCGCAAGGGTGGCCTCTGTTTGTGAAGCAACTTGATGATCTAGATTGGATTGGGACCACCGGGTTGCCTCCTGTTGATATGGAAAAGAAACGAGAAAGAGTGGAAATAACAATGAGAGGACTGGTCAGTGAGGCACTGTTTTCACATGAATCCAAATCTAGTGAGGGCATCATCCCGTGGTCCATCCATGCCAATGAAGATCCATGCGACGTTGCTCCTAGCGAACAGGAGGTCTCACGCTGAGCAAAGGGACTGCAACTGCAGAGTGCTGAGAGCCATTATGAAGTGGATGCAGCGAACTAACAGCTAATG